ATTAGATGATGAATACTGCGAAATTGACCCGGATGTTTTGGGCCAGAACGCGACATTTCGTGGTGTTAACCTCTACATTTTCCTCATCACCTACCTAATTCCTCTGGCCATCATATGTCCGCTGTACGCGAAAGCTGCTCGTAAGCTATGGTTTAACCAGGCTCCAGGCAATCATCTGATTGAAGAACAACAGAGTCGACAGCTGGTTACAAGAAGGAAAGTGGTCCGCATGCTCGTCATCATTGTTGTGGTGTTTGCTATTTGTTGGCTTCCCGCGCAGGCATTACACCTTCTTTGGGCAGTAACAGGTTATGGTAACAACCCACCAGCAATTGTCATGTACCTGGGATTTTGGGTGGCCCACGCAAACAGTGCCATCAATCCTTGGCTGTATATTGCCTTAAGCACCAAGATTAGATTGGCCTTTAATCGGATGGTAACCTTCCGAAAATCTCATCCGGCCTTCAGGAAAAGTACCCAGAGAGGGAGTAACTCAACTGAGGCCACGACATTCCAGGAGGCTAGGGTGTAGTCATACGACCCAAGAGAGCAAGAGTAGAAGGCATATGATTTTCAGCTAGCAAATTGTTTCAGGGACATTTAAACTTTGCCTTTGAAAGCACGCAATAACTGCAGATTACTTAATGCAGTGGTAAGTAGTGGATGAAATAGTAATTTATCCTCACTGCATACTATTACCACATCACGGTAAACTAAGTTATGGGAGGAGACCGCGACAACTGTGGCAACTAAGGTATGCAGCGGGAGTTAAGCGTAGCCGCGTCGACCGGCACCAGGGGAGGAGGGTGGGGCGACAGAAGCTTCCTTCACCGGAACGCGGGCAAAATGACAACGATCGAGGCAAAACACGAGAACCTGCCCCGAAGACGCAGAGCACGGCGGAATCCGAAGGATATAGCTCAAATTCCGTGATGCGCTAATTATGTATGCAGTGAGAATAGAGATAAAGTCATCGACTAAAAGTTTAAAATAGAGATTCCCGTGATGATTTTTGCAGGTGAATGTAGTACACGTATTAGTAGAAGTTTTTTAACGTATTTGTTGGTTCAATATGTAAAGTACGGAATGTTTTCTTAAAAGTAAAAGAGCCTTGTATATTATGCGTTTTTAAACTGTAATGAGAGCTTGACACGTATCGGAGTAAACGCATTTTCAGAGATCTATATTGGACCAGTGCATTTACGCATTTTAAAATAACTTACTTATAACTGTTTTGTTGGATAGTGTATTAAATAATGTATTGATTAAAAACACATAAAGAAACTAACAAACATTGATGATGACATGTATCTTTACATAGAAAATAGATGCTACTTGAAAGTCTTTAGATTTGAATAAATGAAAACCATGCGATGTCTGAGTATGTTTTCTTCGGGTCACTTTTCTTGACATCCAATGTCCATTATCGGACATCTAATGGAGCAATTCGCAGAGGCATAGAGTCTCTGAGTCTTTGCATAATCCTGCTCCGCCCTCGCCCAAAACAATAACAGGTTAGCTCAATTAGACCACGATGCCGTGAGTTTATGCCCTGCATTTCCAAACAGTTCCATGAGTGCATGTAATCCTTTCTAATCCATTCTAATTTACAGGGTCGTTTAACAGCGTTGAGTCTTTGGTTTAAAATTGCAGTAAACTTGAGTAAGTGACGAATTCATCAGTCCTGCAAAATTGAGAAAACTTTATTTTCAAAATGAAGGAACTCTTTTTCTAACAACTAAGTTCCACCACAATGAAGGGAAAATAATTTGTACTCCTCCTCCTAGTCTTTTTCATTTATCCCTGTCAGCCGCAAAATCCATTTTCTCATCTGATTATTTTTTAACTCGTCCGCCGATAAGTCGCCTATCTCATTCCCAAATATAGCCTGCAATGCAAATGTCACGTATGCAGTCGTCTCCGTTTCAAGAACTAGTGCTGCAAAGTTTGATTGTGTACGTTCACGGAAGTCCACAAAAAGTTGACATCTGTCAGGTGAGACTAAACTTAACAGTTGCGACTCGCACGCCAATAAATGAGTCATTTATTGCATTCAACCATCACAGAAACATAATGCTTTCTCTGAGCGCTTTTGGAAGAAAAAGGTGAGATAAGTACACGATGATATAGTCACAAAGGTATTCTAGCTTGTGTATTCGTTGTCTAAGTCTGCATCAACACATAAAAGCTTAAGTAATGCCATGACTACCTTATTACAAGAAATTTTCGCGACATGTTTATTTCGCGATTTTGCTGTGCGCATATTAGGCGACACTTAATTTTCGTGATTTAAGAAAATCTTATATTTGGATCATTTTAATTTAGCGTTTTGAGCACCACAATTTAAATTTCATGGGCAATGTTATTTAACGTGCCCTTTTTAAAGAAAAAGGGAAGGATATTTCTGCCCCAAATTCATTATTCACGATTTTAAAGCTACTACTGTACATTTTTTTAATACAACCGTATAACCATTCGTGACCTTTTAATGAATAATTATGTTCAAACCTGAAATAAATTTAAGTTGTTGACAGATGTTAAGAAGTCTGGCGTTTGAAACACATGCAAACGTGTTTCCTTGCGTCACGGTGTTTGATGCTAAAAAAAACCATGAGAGAATGATCTGAGCTCATTCTCTCTTGAAAAGACATAGACTTTCTACTTTTCTACGACTTTGTCGCTGAGATCTACCAAAAAAACCAGAAATAAATGGGATAAAATTAAAATAAAATAAATGGGGTTGTTTTGACAAAATAGACTGAAACACATGGATTCCGGATTGGGATGTAACTAAAAACAAACGGTTGGAAATAGGTAGTGCTGGCTCATTCTCATGTGTTTTTCTTTTTTCTCGGTTTTTTTTTAGCTTTATTTAAAATTGTGAATTAGTTGCGTCAATGACGGTAAAAGAACTTTTTTTTTCCGGTATCATTTTGAGTTGTCAACAGAGTCAAACTAAAAGACGCCATGCATGTTAGTTGTAAGGCGCCGCTTTTAAACCAGTTATTGGATCCTACAAAATCATGCTTTTAGAGATTCAGTCATTTCGGTCTTTTATGTTTTTACTCTATTTTTTATAACGTACATTGGAAGAAGCGCAATGGCGCTTATTAATTTTTTCTACGCCTCAAATGCGCTGCTTGTTTCACCGAGGGCGCCAGTTATTTGAAAGCTGGACACTTGCTTTCATCAGGGTATTATTACCTACCTCTTACTCATGTCTTACTATCCGAGTGCGAGGTCCGTACTGTAAGTTACGAACCGAGTTTTTCTAGTTGACCAATCACAGCGCGCGTACTTTTCATATGTCGGGTAAACCCCAGAAGATCGGGGATTTACTTTTTGCCGACCGTCTAGGATTTTGCCGATGTATCGGATAATTGTCAGAAGTGTGTCCCAGACTCTCCCGAAAATGAATTTGTCTGGAAATGGAAAGTGCGACAAAAATTGAAACTTGTGCACAAAAGCGTGATAGGGGGACTGGAGCCCAGCAATTTAGAGGACTGGTAATGACCAAAATCCATCGCCGACGTCCCCAACGGTACAAATTTGAGTTTTCATTTGTCGGGAATGATCGTCGACCATCGCAGAGATCTGGAACGCATCGGGAAAATAGAAACGCTCCCGATTCTCCAAATTTGTGCCGTCCATCCCAGACGATCGGAGATATCTGCGATTTCGAGTTTTCATTAGTCGGCAAAATCTGGGACGGTCAGGAAAGAGTAAAATCCCCGATCGTCTGGGATTTTCCAGGCATATAAAAACGAGGCTACAGTATCAAAGACATCGTACTTCAGTTAGGTGATATTGCCCGAGTTTGTAGTGTCTTCACGCGACTCCTGCAAATGAAGAGCTTGCTCGCAGGAGGCTATCCCAAATCAAATAATCTCTACCTGAATCTTCGGTCTTATTGGCGTGTTCAGAGCAGCTGAGGTTTGAGTTCGTATATCCCTATCGTGCTCTTTAATCTGTTCATGCACAGCACAAGACAGCAGCTACTGAGCCTAATAATACCAACAACTGATGCCACAATGATTATTCCACAATAATTGGTCTCGGCTCCATTAAATCTTAAACCAATAGAGAAGAGAAGACGTTACATATTGTTACCATGGTAACAAAATCTCTGGATATCAACAAACCGAGGTCCTGCAAATATGACAGAGAAAACAAAAAAAATGTATGTATGACTTTGCTGTGCATGATTGCACTCAGGAAAAAAACGGTAGCTCAAGTTTTTCCTTCCATTGTTCAATAATAAAGATGGCTGTCTCCGTCAAGAAAGATTTTTGACATCCAGAAATACAGCTACCATGGTAACGTGACGTCACGTGTCTCTATCGTAGAAGGGGCCAATCATATTTCTTTCTTATTAGGCATCACTGTAAATCAGGCACATCTCGTGAGCAGACACCTGGAGTTGGTTCCTTGTTATTCCAGCCATTTTCTTAAGATCTCTGCGACACGGACACCTCTCCGCCGATCTTCAATCGCTTTCTGTGAATCTCTTTAAGGCAGACACCTTCATAAGAAGGCGGGGCACCAAGCACTGGTCCTTGTTATTCCTCAGTTATTTTCCTGGGATCCCTATGACACGGAAACCTTCCCGCCGATCTTCGGTCGCTTTCTGTGAATCTCTTTAAGGCGGACACCTTCCAGTCTCCTGATCCATTTTACGTACTTACAAGTTCACGGTTACAACATGCGTATGTTGTTCAAATCGCATAAAGTAGTGTAGTACACAAAGCTGTCTTAGTAACACAAAAACTCGAGTTACGAATAGCGCCCACCACAGACTTGGAGATTTTGCTCGCAACCTGAGAAATATAGGGGTTTCCATGACAATGAAAGACATCTAAAAAAACACCAAGAAAATTAACTTCTTTAAACTTGGTTTATCTTAAGACCATTCATCTCTGTATTTAAGGAGGCATACGGTTAAAAAAAATTATTTTTCGTTGATTTCCACTCTTTTTCTTAAATATCTAGCCAAGAGTTCATTCAATCCAAAAATAACTCAATTAAGTTACAGTCCTTAAGGAGGGGGGAGATGTTTGAAATTTGGAGAAAAAGGAAAAATATTGGATTTGGGGGTTGTTAAAAATTGAAATATGAAGTGAATGATAAGAAGACAATATACCAGATTAGACTGCAAAACAGTCGGTTTTTTCTCAAAATCACTAATCGGTAAAGCGTGGTGTAAGAGTCTTACGCGCACGAAGCACTCGAGCCTCACACGCCCTACGGGCGTGTGAGGCGAGAGAAAACCTTTCCCCAGTCTCGCTCTCTGTTTTCAGCCTCGTTCCCGACCTTTTGTTTGACTGCTCGCGCGTCCTTGAATACACAAAAGTACGGACTGTTTTGCAGTCTAATACCAGATAGTCCACCACCATAATAAGGTGCCTCTGATCTCATTAGCGGACTAACTGGTTTATGTGTATACCTAATTTATTTCCTTCCCAAATCAACATCATTGCCCCCCCCCCCAAAAAAAAACCGTAATGCCCTCTTAAGGTGAGTTCATCTCACCTAGTGCCTGGGTTTAAAAATTATGTAATTTGACTTTTATATTTTGGCTTTACACCAATCAGATAACTTGAGCATTTTATGATTTTTTGAATGTTTTTAATGTGTAAAATTTAGCGGGAAGAGATGTTTGAAATTTGGAGAAAAAGGGAAAATATTGGATTTGGGGGCTGCTAAAAAATTGAAACCATAAGTAAATAATTAGTAGACAATTGCCAGATAGTCCACTACCACAACAAGGTGCCTCTGATCCCATTAGCGGACTAATTAGCGGTTCATTAATGTAGGAAACCCAATATGACAAGAGAATCAATTGGTATCATTAGCAAATAAAACCAGGTCATAGATATTTATAATAATAATAATAATTAGTGAATCGAAAAGAGGTACTTGACATTAGGTCGAGAACAACCTCAGTGTATTAAATGTGTCACTGAGGAACTAAGAACTCTTCAAATGATTTATGAAAAATCGGAAAACGTATTTTAGCTTGCAAAGTTCTGTGCAGCTTACAAAAGCGTTAAAAATACGACAGAACTGTTAAGTTGAACTGGATTTTGTGCTAGACTGCGAGCAGTCTCTCTTTTTCTTCAGATAATTTTAGTAAGGGGAGTGCGATTAAGGGAGCGTTGAGCGAGAAACGAGGGCGGCAGCCCGAGAAGAAAAAAGTTTGAGATAGTGCGAATAGACCTTTAAGTGACTTTATCGGTTTGTTGTCATTCAAAAATTTTGCTACCATGGCAATGTGACGTAACGACTTCTCCTCTCTATAATTCGTAAGAGTTGAATACATTTCAGGTTAAATGTTATTACATTTATGGCTTTATTACATTTAGGGTCGTTTACATTAGGCCTACATTTCATTTGGGGCTCCTACGACTCCAAGAAAAGGTAGAAAGTTCATTGTCAAAAACAGGTAATATGTTGCAAGCCAAGTACATTTATTTTTTTGGAAGCGACGTCTAGAACCTTGTGTTTTAGTCTGAAACAGGCTCAGGATTTGGAGAGCAGGGTGGCACACTCTCACCGAAAGTTCCTTGGAGTATCGCTGATCCCTTAAACAACAATATTCGCCCTACGTTTCCCACTCACGTGCAGTAATGACTGAACCATATTTTTCTTGCGGTGTTTATTCGAGGTATGGCTAGATTCGAATTCGATACTCGTCTTGGATTATATGGAAAAAAATTGTTACCCTCGACCCTAGACATTGTACCCTCCAAAGACAAGTTGCATGTTTTTTGTTGCCCGCTTTTTCCGTAACTTAAGCAAGCATCGACGAAATTTTATTTCTCTTTCTGAACCATGGTCGCTTGGAATTCAATTTCAGGAGGTTCGCCTACATTTGACAAAGAAAGAGGATAGGAATAACTGCGATAAAAGCTGAAAGAAGGCAAATTCAGATTTTTAGGGACGTTCTCGTTTCCGTCGCGTCGATGTATCTTAAAGTTTCCAATCGCTTGGCTTTACACGCACGGAGACAAAGAACAATGAAACCGGCCTTCTACAGGGCACATTCTGACATTTTAACATCTCATTGTGACACAATAAACGGTTTTTTCAGGAAGTGGGTGGATTGAGGCAGTATTTGAAAAGAAGTTTACAGGCTCTCCCCTTCTCTCTTCCTCTGAATTCCCGCCCTTTTTTGCTTTCCCACTGCTTTTCTTTTCGCTTTTTTCTCTCGTCTGCACTGACCGAGAGCCCGGTACAGGCTACCTTCTTGGATCGATTTTCAATAACATCCGTTGAAAGAAGTATTCTTTATTACCTCCACACTACACTTAGGACGGGTCGACGAAATGTTCAAGTCTCTTAAGATTTCTGCTCCTCTAATGGTCAAGAAGGTATAAGTCTCTTCAATTTTTAATTAAAAAAAGTCAGAAAGGCGTGAGTCAGAATCGCAGAGCGTAGTGTCTGCGGTCCATCACCTACTTCACTACGCCATTGAGGATTACCGCGAGACTTGGTTTGATTTAAAGATAAATAACAACACCCTTAACCCTAAATAGAAGCTTACCATTTCGAGTAAGTGCTTGACCCTAATCACTAAAGTCAGTGCGGTAAACTGAAACGATAAGGAATACTAGGCTGTGTTAACTTTAAAAGGCGTCTAAGCGACCTTTCGACGGATGTTATTAAGCAGCAACAACCTTCTTGTTGTTTTGAGACACAAATTATGGCGGACATGACGTCATGTGGAAACGCCCTATACAAAATTATAACTGGCACGTACCCAGACGCCTCTCTTTCGATGAAAATGTGCGCACAAAGGAAGGCGGGAAGAACACAACGGGCGTCGCCTGCCGTCTGTACCCTTCCCATGGTCCCTTGCAGTTCATCACCAGTCACTCGCGTTTCGCGCTCGCCTCTGCCATGCGAAAAACGAAGAGCCTGAGAAGGAGGCTGAAATTATAATGTTCTAAAACAGTTAGCTTATTCTTTCCCTGTGCTAACATCGTACGTATATCGAGATATGAAGCACGCGGGAATTTCAAAGAGCGCTCAAGAAAAATCGCAAGTTAGACGATCGCCCATCTCCTGAAAGTATGCGCAAATTTGAATGGCAGGTGCCCGCGCGAGAGTTTGACGTTAAGAGTAGCGCATTTTGTTTTAAAAGATAGCACTGACATTTGACTATTTCGAGTGGACCCCGCGCTAAGCGGCGGTCTCCTTCTTGTGGGGTTGTTTCCACAAACTTCCCAGGTGGGCCTTATTTTAGTGCCAAAACGTATCCTGGTTCTTCCGGGTGACACCTTACTCGCCAGTGGTAATTTTTACTCGCGCTATCGTAATTCCTCGCTCAACTTAGGGCTAGTGGTTTATATATCTCTCTCAACAAAATCTGTTTTCATGCTTCAGAATACATTTGTTGTAGTTGATTTTTTTTTATCTCAGGTAATTTTTGTTTTTCTCAATATTTTTAGGTATGGTAATGTACGCTAATGAAGTTTAATCAAAGGAAAAATAAAAATTACCAGAGATAAATAATTAACTACAACGTATACATGTTGTCTTTGCAATTGAAGACATTTTGAAATAAAAAAATCAAGTCAAGCCTCGATCTTTGCAATATTTAGTGGTACCTGTACCGCCGGTTCGCGGTCTGAAATTTTTTTTATTACAACATGACAAAAATTTTTACAAATTAAAACATTTACGTTGTCGCATCCAAATTCGCGTTCGGAACAAGACAACATACATTTGACGTCGTGTATGTCTCCAGTTTTGTCATGATTTGCAGTTTTCTTTAAGGATTTGTGGTATATGAAACCCTTACGTTTAATTTTTGCTGAGGCTAATTTTGATTCAGCAAATGTTTGCTAGCGTCATCGAGGAAAATCCAGGGATTATTTCCGTCTAAAAATTTAATAAAAACGAAGGATATTTTCGAAACCACTAAAACCCAACAGAACAAAGAACATGGACTTTTATAAGGTTTTAAAAGTAATGAAATACAAACATGTAAATTAAGGCCATTAGTTCACAGGTAACCACTAACCGTTAACAGTTATCTTCTTTAATAATACATTTTTTCATTAAGGAATAACAACAGGTTTACCATTTATATTCACAATTTTTACAAGGGAAAAAAAACTAGATTAAAAAGGAAAAATAAAAATTACACAAAATTCAATCATTCACTACGATATTTTTGTTTGGTTTGCTCCAGGGACTTCTTTAAACTAACAAGTCTTTCAAAAAATGTTCAAGTTAAATATGGGAAGAACTTTTCGATGGACAAAGTACTGTTTTGTTTACAATAGTACAATTATTACATGGTTTATTGAAATTAAACATAACAAAACCACACGCTTACGCTATCAAATTTGATAATTAATGCCGATTATTTGTAGGTTTTGAAATGCACTGCGATGAATTTTAACTTAAGCCAGATATTGGTAATATTTCTAGAACTGAGCAGTAATCTGGTTTCAGCTGGTTCTAGCCAAGCAGAAAATTATTTGCTGTTTGGGAAAACAGGAAGATAAAATCTTGGTTGATGTGTTTGAAAAAGGTAGCAAACTGTTTTGCTTAACAAAACAGCGCGGAAACCTCGATCGACGTACGAGTGGCCGAGGGAACGAGGTTTTGTTAAGTTTCGAGGTTCTTGTCCATTTATTTTCATTATTACTGTAGATAATCTTCCGTTATGCGGAGGACTTCGTTATATAGAGGTTTGTTATATCGGGGTTTCATTGTATCGTCAAAATGAGAACATCAACGTGTGTTATAAAAATTCTTTGTTTTACACTTGCCTCAAATATTTCTTGTGGCGTAAGTAGCAAAGACTGTGCCCACAGCAAAAAGAGAGTCATTTTTGTACCATGCTGAAGCGAAACTGTCATACTCCGGCTTCCAGACTTTGTGAGAAGCTTTGACAATTCCTGTATCGTCCACACCACCTATTAGAACGACCACTGCTAGGTCAGAAAACTGGTGTTGAATGCCACATAGTTTCTGTTGGATAATTTTACTGAGAGCATCGCATCGAGCTTCGCTGTTCCAGGAAGCGAAACTCACATCGCGCAAATTTGTTCTCAGTACCTCTTCAATCGTGTCCTGAATTTTCAGATCTTGCAGCTTACAGGCAGGTTGGAGAATAATCAAGTCATCTTTTGAAACACTTCGGGTTGATGAAATATCTGAGTTTTCGTACGCTCGTTTTCTTGGACGAGTCATCACTGCTCAAGTCAACAACTGAAATCTTGTAAATGCGGCTTCTGTAGCAAGAAAATTTGACGGCGAACTCCACAGCTCCTTTGTCCAAACAAAACTGACGTAATTAGCTTGAAACCAATGCGGAAACGTACAGTTTAGCAAAAAAACTGTCTTGACGCACTTGAGACTTTGCCGGATAAAGTATAAAAAAAGAAAACGATTGACCTGAATTCTATGTCGCTTGTTCTTCCTCGAAGAGAACGATCACTCTGTTAAGTTAATTGTTTTCGCCGGAATTGTAAAGAAACGCTTGACAATGATGTTTCATTAGAACTTAGTTCGTCCAACAATTGCTTTCGACTCTCGCAGACTTACAAGGTAATTATGCGAAAAAAACATCTATTGGCTTAAACTCCTATTTTTCTGCCTAATCAATGGATTCTTATCAAATGAATCGGTATTGCATGAGAGGAAAATTTTGCTCCGAGCGCCATAACAAGAAAATAAAAAACGGAACTTGAAATTTACACCACCATGATACAAATAGATTTTTTGTGTTGTAGGAGATTACAGTCTTTTTTGAATTTAGCCAAAAATTGGTCTAAAAATGATAATTCCTCGCCCAAATCCGTTCGGCAGTGAAAAGGAAAAATAATCTTTCGGTAGTAAATGAAACTGTGAATGGCTTTTGTTTTCCTCGGAAGACTTCATTAAGGTTTTTCTTTTACATTTCTAAGCCAATTCATCCGGACAAAATAGGGCTTAATGACGGGAGAATTATGTTAGCTTGCCTTTGTTTTGCCGAACGCTATAATTAAGTCAGTTTGTCAGATTAGTTGGAAGTGAAGACGCATAAAAGATTGGACGTTTGGGCCAAATGAACTCCGGACTTTAGTACGATGCAGCTTGCAATTACTGAGGTAGAAGGTGACTTTTTCACATCTCGGAAAAATGGACGGCTATTAACGGGTGAAAGAAATTATTCGGCTTCCAAACGTAATTACTCGTTAGAACTCATCAGTACCGCGGGCAAAAGAGATACGTTCTGGCATGGTATATTATTCGCGTGCTAAAACTTCAAAAAAATTTGATGAAATATATCTTGTATTCCTTTCGGTGAAGAAAAACTAGTAAGTGTCAAGAATTATTTATCAATGATTTTTTCTTTAAGGAGTATTTTAATCCTTCGCATTAAAAGGTGTTTTCTCGGCCAAGCGGTCTTAAAGCAAGCTTTTCTCGGCGAAAAATATTTAAAGGCCGCACCCATTAAGTGCGATACAAGACAATGGGTTAATCAACGCGTAGCGTCTGTCGGCCTGGCAGCCGTCATTTCTCTGTGCGGTATTTTTCGCTCTCTATAAAGAAACTATAGCCTTCATTTTCTCCTTCCAACAAAAGAGGGCCCATTATTTCATCGTAAAAAAACTTAACGGCTTAGATGAATATTTTGGCCGGATGAAAGGGTAAAACTGCTCCTTAAAGGCGGCAATTCTTTGTCTCAAGAATTATCACCCAGGGCAAGGCAAATGGAAAAATAAATAAAAACTGAGGTTTGAAACTTTTGAGAAGGGGGTCTGCGAATTCTTTTCTGAGCCATAGGTATGAATATAACCCTGTTAAACATTTTAAGAAAATCAGAGGGAATACTGAGAAACCCATAGCAAAAATTAATAGGTCCGCAAGGTGTGCGTGACAAAGGAACAGTACCTTTCTATTTCGTTAGTATTTTTATTTTGTGTAAATGTTTACTATTATTTCAGACCCAAAACTGTTCTGCCTTTGCAGTAAAGGTTTTATTTTCTAAAATTTGAAGCGACAAATTAAATATTTATGTTAATTATCAGGAGGTATGTGGATATTCTTCAATTATTGTAGCGGAGCAAGCATGTCCGGTTTGTACACAAACTTGTTTTTTTCCATTTACCTAATATTTAATGATTTTAAGTCATTTTCTTTATTACTTTTTATTACTTTCTCCGCGTTGTTTTCAATATCGTAAAATTAGATTTTCTAATAAGCAGGAGCCGATTAAAACGGAAATGGGTTGACTCAAAATGAAGGAAACTGGCCATCGCCGAAAAAGGAAAAAAATATAATGACAAAAACAAAAAGTGTCCTTCCTAAGTTTAACTTTCGAGTATAAAAATTAATAACAAAACACGAAGACGAAAGCGATTTGAGGTTTCTCGCCAGGCTGCAGTCCTGGACGTTATCAAGTAGTATTTGAAATTACCTGTAATTTTGTGGATTGCTTTCCTAAGAAGCAGTGCTGTTTTCTACGCAAATGACTTGCAGTTTCCCCTCCTCCCACCCGATACAATGTTGAACGTGCGGAAAAATTGTGAATACACGGATTGAACATTGTATATGTGGGGTGGGGGGAGGGGATGCGCATGTGTAGTTCGAAAAAAGGCGCGAAGTATGCAAATTTATCCCCCACTTTTCTTCATGATCCAGTCGGAGTCACCCAATCCGGATTCCGGAATCGTGAAAAATTTGGTTGTGGAATTCGGAATACAGCTCAAGGAATCTGGAATCCCAACAATGCTTGGAAGCCAGAATCCAAGTTCTATTGACAAAGATTGGAATCCAACACCAGGAATCTGGAATCTAAGGCCTGGAATCCAGAATCCAAGACTGTCTTGGATTTCCTAAAACAGGGTGAGTCAGCGAGTACCATTCTCCAGGAAACTGATCAAGTGGATGAAGATTTTAGTCTAGACTATGGAAACCAGGAATTGACACTAAATAATAAGATAGGGAATTCAAACTTACCTGCAATACAATTTAATAACAAAGAAAGTGTCGAATTCAGTTATTTCTGAAAAATGTCGAATCAAGGATAGGGGGCGGTTTTGGGAGTTTAGTCTAGTATAGGGTAGAAAAGTTTACCTAAATCGAACTAGGTAGGGTTTCAGGGTCCCAGCGGCACATTCCCCCCGGGGGACTTCCATCTGAAATAGACAGGGATTCTCATTGGTAATTAAATCCTTAGAGGCTACCAATCTGCAGTGGCAGATCCAGCGGAGGGGCCCGGGGGCCAAAAAAAATTTTTTTGGAAACCCCCCCTTCTTCCCCCTTATCTAAGGGTCTGGATGACCGCTCCCCCTGCCTCATCTCAAAGTCTGGATCCGGCACTGAATCTGTGCATGGCTTGAAGGCTGTATTGATCCCTAAAGGAGACCATAGTCCAACACAGTAAGGTAACATCAAGTGTTTTCAGCCATAACAGGTGTTATGGGTTACGGCCCCTAATTCCAGCTCTGTCTAAGGCTGCATGCAAACGGACGCAACAACTCCCAACATTGTTGCGCCAACAATGTTGGGAATTGTTGCGTGCGTGTTGGTAGTGGTGTGCAAACGGATGCAACAACTCCCAACAATGTTGGGACCTGCAGTGCATCGTGGGAAGGATACAACCTATAAGTCTTTGTAAACGGTGCATAATGAGCGTGCGTGGCCCCAACAATGTTGGAAGAGCTGTGCAAACGAATCCAACATTGTTGCGCTATGCTTCGGCGATCACGGAACAAAAGAAATGTTGGGAGTTGTTGACTGAAAAGTTTGACTGGTTTCAAACTTGGCGCAACAACAAGCAATAACATCCGACAACATGCAACACGGTGTGCAAACGGACGCAACATGTAACATTTAACAATGTTGCGTCCGTTTGCACACATCCTCAGGAAACAACGCGATGGGTGAGGCTTGAACCCCGGACCCCCAGATCTGGAGTCTGAGGTGTTAACCGCAAGGTCACTCCAAGTATGACATTTTCCATAGATATTTCTTTATGCACAACCTTAAGCCCTACCTTCAACGGTGAAATATTGGCTTTCTGTCGTGAAAATCTCAAGTGACAGCCAAATCCACCTTAACTTCCCTAAGCAAGATGCCACGCATTTTCAGCATTTTCATCTAGGAGTCCCCCACTAGGTTTTTAAGAACTATAGCCAAAATTTCTGACATTTACAATGAGACTGCAGAAACTGCATGCTTACAATGCTGATGTGAAAACTGAAAAGCATAATTTTTTTAAAGGGGGTTATGTCAAACTATCTGCCCTCTATTTTAAAAAGCTAGAACGATTTTCGCATTCAATTGAATTTCAAAAATTAATAATGGTCCAGTCTTATAATTCAGACTATATTATGCATTGAAACTGTTTCCTATCATCTAATGCAATGGATGGCAAGGTTAGACAGGGATTGAAACTTGAAAATTTGGGTCAATCTTTTCAAGTTCAATACTGTGCCTGCAATAACCAATAAAAAGATAATAAATTATTACAGTTAGTGCTCCTCGAATAATGAAATTTGTTTGATATTTTCTTAACTCTACCGTGTACGGGTTAAGGCGCTAAGTGATGATTTCAGTACAGAATTTTCCTACAAGAGCAATATATTTGTGACATAGCTCCTTACTGCGCTTTTTAAAGACACGCAAACTCTGAAGTTCAAAACCCAACTGACATTTGTGTCTTTCGCTGCCCTCAATCATCTTAGCAGACCTCTTAGGAAACAGAACTTTACTTAAACAGGTTCAAAAGGTCATGGTTTGTGATCTGTGATTAGTGGATTTCAATCCGTTTTGTGTGTTTCTGTGTTTCAAGGTTCGTTGCTTGCGATCATAATAATTATGATCGACGGCAGCGAAAAACTTAATTGTGAACACCGCTTTTGAACTTTAGAGTTCACATTTGTGAAAAGCGCAGTAAAGCTAACTGCAATGCAACAATAACCTCTGCTCCCATGGGTCAAGTTAGTTGTAGATAACACTACAAAAATCCAGTTGTAAGTTACAGATAAACATTATTTTATACTTTTGCAGTGTCTGACATACAATAACAGGTTTTACAACTTATCACACCTTGCTTGTCTCTGCAAATTGTAATCAAGCCATAGCATTACAGTGTTTTTACACCTTAAAGGTTATTTTTAAATAATACAAAACTCCTTAAAAGTAACACTAATCATTCATGCTGGCTAAGAAATCCTGAAACTAAGGACCGACTGCCCAAAAGCCCTTTAAAGGATTTCCTCTTTTCTTTGTACTGTGTCACCGAAGATAACAACAAAAAAATTGGCCAGAAATGCATGGAGAGGTGAGATAGCAGATTTTGTGCCACATGCAGAGAAATCTACTTGAAACTGACAATTTGTCAGTTAAGTTAATCCTTAAAGTAACATAAATAGAATCCTGCAAAGTAATGACCCCTCAAGTGTACTTAGCCCTAAAGCAACCCTTCAAGATGCAACCATTTTGGTCGCCATGGTGCCTAAAATTTTGGAGCTGGCGAATTGATTTGTAAAAAGTATCCCTAAACCAAAAGAGTTGGTTGCCAAATGGCGACTGAGCAAAAACTTTAACTTGGAGGGTTGTAAAGGCATAGTTACTCTTGGATTCCCTTATGCAGATTAAAAGCTATGTCTTATTCAAGGATACAAAAATTAGCCCGATTGCAGGTTAACAAACTTCTTATAGATGTAGCACAGGCAATACAGCATGCTTAAACCTTTTCAGTAGAACTCAAAAGAAATTTCCAAAAATTCCAAAATAGTACTATGCAATAGTTCTGCTAACAAGGCTTCATTTAAATGGCAACACCATAGTGGAGTTCTTGCACGTAGCGGAGGTAAGAAATTTGGTTATCTATGTATTCAAAAAATTTTGATTTTGACAAAATTCATCGGTACATACATCCGCCCCTTCATGTTCCCCAATGTGAAATGTCTTAAAAGGTTAAAAGTCTGAGGCTTATACAAATTTTTGGTGCTAAACTTGATATTGGGCATCGACGTTATGATCAATATTGACAGCTGTCAAAACATGGTATCTACCGATCATTGTTATATAACTGTATTATGCACTTAAAGAATTAATTCATTTAAATAGAATTTCCGCTTGTTCTGCTTGCAACGACGTAATTGGGATAGTTTCTGCTTTAATGATAGCAAAATCTGAGTGTCAGATAATACTGTATTTCCTTGAATAAGGGCCTATGCTCTAATAAATACCCACCCTCAAGGCCATAATATCAAAGAAGTGCCCCCTCTCCTCCCCCTCACTTTCTGGAACAATAGGAATACAAGAATAACCAGCGTCTATTGCCACTTTAGTTATAACCATTTAGCCGTCGACTACAGCGGGATTAGTAAAGGAGAATAGTTTCTCTTCCTTCAGTTATTTCTCTATCCATATGCCTCTTTCAATTTTTGTTTTCTTGCTGCACTCTTGGTAAATGTCGTAAACTTCCCAGGAACAGCTAGACTATTCTCTAGTTTGTTTCAAGGAAAAAGTAATGAGCACCCCCTTGATTAAGCACCCTCCTTTGAATAAGCACCCATCCTTTAATTTATTACTTTATATGAAAAAAACACTCACTTATTTGAGGAAATACAGTATCTGACACTCACATTCAGCAATAGCCTACGCCACATACAGAACTAAACTTCTGGCTCCAATAATATTGTTCAAAGGGTGGATAACACTATCCACTGGACAAATCACTATCCATTGGATAGCACAATTGGTTCTATAATACTTAGCTGCTGGATAGTGATTTATCCAGTGGATAGCACTATCCAATGTTTGAACAACCTGGGCCTGGTTAAGTTCGTCATCAAAACAGTACCAAAATCCTTGTCCTCCCCACCCAGTGTGCCAGGACTCAAGTATGGGCCATGACTGGCCAGTTAAAAAAGCCATTGTCAATTTGCAAATCAGGTTGAAGGGAAATTCGAAATGCTCTTCCAGTAATTTGTTGAGTCCATGGGGGCCCTGAACAAGGATCTGGCACTGCCTCGCAGATACAGTCAACTCCTTCTAAGACGGACACCTCGGGGGCCTGCAGTATGTGTCCGTCTTAGAGAGATGTCCGTCTTATGGAGAGTCAAATACAGGAAGTAAAGAAAGGCAGGGACCAACTCTGAGTGTCCATTTTACAGAGGTGTCCGTCTTATAGAGGTGTCCGTTAAGAGAGAGTAGCCTGTATTACTAACCGAGGTTAGTAATATCAGGCCTATTCAACTATCATGCATGAAAGCATGAACTGTGTGAGTGAGTCAACTGAGTGACATGCACTGCGTCTGTACTCTTTGCGGTGAACAGTAACGTCTTTCCTACCTACTGGGGTTTATTCTTTTTAAATGACACCTGTAGATGTGTGTTATGCTGCTGAAGGTAATAACCATTCAAGTTCCCAACTGCTTTCACGGCTTCCTCATATTTCATCATGTTCACAAACGCATAAGCACTGCCTTCCTTTGCATGTATGGACAAAATGGCGCCGTGTGGGGAAAACAGACGATACAAAAGTAACTCATTTAAAGGTTCTTTGTCCTCCTTTTGTTGTGGTAAGCCATACACGAAGACACAAGGACAGTTCTGGGGCTCGGGAAATGAGTTCATGTTGAAAGGTTGTCTAACGTCGTTTGGTCGTGGCGGAACCTGACCGAAAGGCGAGAAGCGGTGATTTGGAGATTCGTGACGAATAGGGCCGATTCCTCCGTGATTTAATGCTGGTCTTAGAGGTTCGTTTCCAACCATCGGGCCCTGCGATATATTAGGAGATACTTGCGGCGTTTGAGTTCCTTTCGGTGGATTTGCAAAGCGAACAACCAAATTAGTTCCATCTAGTAATTTCTTACCATTCAAGGAATCGATTGCTTCTTGTGCCTCGGAGCGCTTGTCAAAACGAATAAACCCAACGCCACGACTTTCACCAGTTTCTAATGTCAAAACTTTTGAAGAAATTATAGTCCCATAAACGCTAAACCACGCTCTCAGTTCGTCCTCGCTAGTAGATTTCGGTAAACCGGCGATGTAAAGATTCGCATTCTTGATCTCCTCAGACGATGGCCTAGCATAACTAACCCGTATTTTTTTAGCACCCATTTGATGCCCATCAAATCTTTCAATGGCTCTCGCTGCGTCAACTTCATTGCTGTAGTTTACGAACGCATAACCAAGACTAACTCCGCTTTTGTCTCGCATAAGGCGAACTCCAGTTATAGCACCACAAGAAGCAAACATGGCTTGAAGTAAAACTTCTGTGATGTCTCCTGGCAGATAGTTAACGATAACATGTTTCTTTTCTCTGTCGTTAGTGATACCATTCGAAGAAAGTACCTCAGCCATCATTTCTCAGCAAAAAAACCCGTACAGTCCCCACAAAAACATGAAAAATGTATCAAGAGCTTTTCTCAAAAGCTACAAATGTTGACAAGCAGCACCCCCCGGAGATGATGGAAGCACATGTTTCGCCCAGTCCTACGCGGTCGCCGAGGGCACGCAACGCGCGACTAAACATAGGGGGCGCACAGGCGGTCTTTGGGGCGAGAGAACGAGACACGCGACAGAGGGGAAAGGGGATAAAATTAGTAATATTTTTTATGTTCACATGCTTTATTTTTCCCATATTTTTCTCCTTTTTGTCTTGTTTGGCAGAATTTCAAACGTTTGGTTAATACCAGTATAAATCTACATCAAAGTTTGAAATTCAATTAAAATAATCGGCATCAGATTTCGTATTAACCAGTCTGTTCCAGGAGCCAGGATGATATGTGCCCCATTCATGATAGTAGCCTCCCACGCAGACGTTCTTTTAGCTCACCATGCAATCTTCCCCAAGGAAGGAACGCAGGACAAAGCCCTACGAATGTCTGTATGGGGGGCTAGGGCTATCATGATAACTAGTGTGAACACATGCCAGGGCTGGACTTACAGGAAGTGGGAGATCAGAGGCACTCTATCCTATTTTCTTTTGCACCAGACTGCCTTTGTTTGACCACAGGGCACCCACACAATCTGTATGTGTAACCAATGTTATTTTATAGTAAAAGTATTGGATTTACTGTTTGCCTCACTCAAAGTGATATATCGCTAAGTATGTAAATAAATCAATGTTAAAATAAACGTTGAATTACCTTACCTGTGGTATATTGTCATTCTTTTACCTCAAAAGTGGTTTTTTGAGCTATTATGAAGGATTTTGAGTTCGCCATTTAGGTCGTTCAGGCGAACTCAAAATCCTCATTGAATAACAAAAGAGCCTATTGTGTTATACCTCGTTCTTTAAAGCGTTCTGACAAATGCAAATGATGTGGGCGGTTATTCTGAAATTGCTCCTTATTTACCATTGATTTATATACATACTTAGCGATATATCGCTATGGGTGCAGCAAACGGTAAATCCAGTACATTTACTATGAAATAACAATCGGTTTCACACACAGATTGTGTGGGCGCCCTGTGATTTGACCTTGGTATTTTTACAATGCGGCTGCTCTTCACTGAACACCTAGAACAGGCTACTCCTCAGTAAGTTAAAATTTCCATATGGGCCACTCAATCTTAATTTGTGGGCCAACCAAAATTAGATATGTTAAGAGTAATAATATTGATTAAAATTTCAAACTTTTTGTGCATATGAAAAGTTCGATATAGAAGTCCGCAAGGGCAAGAGGTTCATGTAGTTGCAGTCCAGACCCCTCTAGGGAACCAAGAGCCAAATCTGTTGAGACTCTAAAATTTTATAGGTATGAAAATATTATATAAACCCTGTCAGTTCTGTGATGGCTTAAATTACAGTATACACTCTTTTTACATAATTTGGCTACTTAAATTATCACATTAACTTCTACAATATTATTTGACTCCTTTGTTGGGTGCCTTGTAAGCTAATATTGTTTTATGTCTTTATACTAAGTGACTTTGGAAACCCTAATTCCCTCATAAAATATCAGCTTGAAGGGAGCATTATGTTATTTGTGACAGCAGCCTAAAAATAAAAATAAAAATAAAAATAAGAAATAAGACATTTTTAAGAATTTAATTATGATAAGTTAATAATATTTGGTTTTTTTAATTTATAATATTATTACTTTAAATTCTTGTACCAAAGCTGGAACCTGCACTTGTTTAAGAATGATCACTGAGGAACTTTACAAAATGAACCAAGTTTTGTCGTTTTAAGATTTCATAGGATCTAAGATCCAAGTCTTGACATTTTTAGGACAGCTAATTAAAAAGTCAAATCTTTGGTGGGCTAAAGTATTATACATGCACCTTTTCCAATTATTAAACTTTTGGAGAGACTCATCATCTCTAGTAAAAAGACTATAATTTCTACACCTATTCTATTCAGCCTGTTTAACTTTTAATCTTATAAAGGACGAAAAGCATCAGATTTCTCTCTGCAAAATCAGTGCTTTATCATTATCAAAGATGTTCCATAAGAGAATGCATTCAGTTCTGGATACTTCTTTTGATAATTTAGTAAGTTCTCAAATCATTGTGATACAAATATTTCATGGTAAAAAGAAGTTAGTGTGAAATAAAACTACAAGGCATAAATTTAGGGCCATAGAAACAGCGTTCAATATGACTTAAGTTTACCACAAAATATGACAATGACAGCAATAGTTCCCATTAAACCTATAAAGCAGATTATAATATTATTAATACCTCTCGTTCTTTGGTGATTTCTGCCCACTTTTCAGAAGCAATACGTGGAATAACATTTAACAGAAGTTCCTTGGCATTAGCAACATTGACCTTAAAAGTCTTTTTAACTGCTTCCACACTTACCTAAGTAATAGGTAATAACAACAGAATATTGTTTCAAATTTTACTAAATTACCACGCAAATATTAAACATTCGTATCAAACTAAAGCTGAGGGAAACTATATTACAAGGTGGGGTATCAAATGCTTAGGGCAGGGGCATTATACAGGAGAAATGCTGGATAATCAAGGAGAGTTGGAATAATATAATGTGGAGAAGAATTGGGGGAACCTGCAATCATGAACAAAAATAAATGAGAAGTTTAGACTCCTCCCACTCCAATCAAAGATAGGAAAATGGTGCATTTTGCCCTTTGCACAGCTTCATTCTAATGTGGGGTGCAAAATGCCACAAGGAAACTGTAACATGTTCAAATCAAAAATAAAATAAAATAAAAAAACATTGGGGGGGAGAAATGGGCTTAATACCAAGGCAAATATGGTGACCCATGTGGGAGACTGTGAGAACAGTGCCTTGTCTGGGAGAGTTGACACATGGGAGTACCAAAATACCACAACCCTTTACTCGTCATGAACAATAATCTGAATGGAGAGCTTAGTTTCAGGCATAACAGAAGCATGGCTGGCGCACTACCAGACAAAAGCCTACCGGATCATGGTCATCTCTCCAGCAGTCGTAGTCAGTTACCATAGAAATAGAGGCATAACAAAGACCAGCTTCATTAGCAAGGACAATTTCTGGAACAGCTGTCATACCGATAATGTCTCCACCCCACATTTTAAACATTCTACTTTCAGCCTTGGATGAGAAGCGTGGGCCTTCAATAACAACCATTGTGCCTGATTCATGATGAGGCAATTTCAGTTCTTTGGCAGCTTCAGTAAGAATCTAAAAAAAATGGCAAAAGAAAGCCTTTTCTAAATATGTTTCCTTGTATTTCCTCGAGTGACAGCTGGAGGCGATTACTCTTTTTTTTCACACTAAAAGGGGGCTACTATTCGTGGGAGGCAGCTATTTTGAATATTGCTCACTGGAAGTCATGTCCTAAATACTTGTATTTTGTTTTACTATCCCATTAAATAAAAAAATAATCACATCAAGCATACTGAACATGGGCTCTATAAGTGTTCTAAATTTGGTTCCTTGGCTAATTTTCAAAGTCAGTATCTTCGACGTCACAGCTAGAATCATCACCGATCAGTTTTGCTGTGCGCATCAGACTCCTCTTCAGCAATTGTTTGTCATCCAAAGCATCAATTTTTAACTTGACAGGGAGGGGATAAAAGAGAGAAAAACGGGTGAGAGGGGTTGGGGGGGGGGGGGATTTTTCGGGGGGGGCGATTATTGTAAAGATTTCTGTAAAAGGGGGCGAGTATTCAAGGGGGGTGATTGTTTAAAACATGGGGTTGGGGGGGGGGGGCGATTATTCGAGGGAGGCGATTATTTTAAAGATTTCTGTCAAAGGGGGCGACTATTCAAGGGAGGTGATTGTTTAAAACAACAGATAAAACCCTAAATTGAACCAGTTTTCCCAGCTGGTCCGCCCGTGGGTGAGATACAAAGGGACCGAATAGGAGAGATCAGATGTCATCATGTATGCAGCCACCACTTCAGTCTACGTTTGATCTCACCTATCTCACCCTGACCAATGATGACAGTCAGATAGACCTGTTTGAACCATGTCACAGGTTCTTCTACATTCCCTTCCAAATGATGTGTATGGACAGAAGAGACAAGACTAACGGCTTTAATGTCACTACCCAATGACATGATCATCACTAGCATGATCTCTCCAGTTTTTAAAGACCATGGTTGTTGGTTCGGCCAGAGTTTGAACTCCCGCCTGCCTGCCCAGCAGACCAACACTCTTCCAACTGAGCTAACCTGGGAGGTCAACCATTTTCATAATTTACAGTCAACTCCTGGTCCAGCATGACACCGTCAGTATCCTGAGTTAGGGTTGTAAAAAGTGAGACTCTATATTAGTGGGAGATAATTTTGCCAGAGATTTTAATAGTTCAGTGTCCATTTTAATGGTGGATAAGTAACAGCAAGGTGTCTGCAAAGCTAGTTAAATGTTATCACAAGTGCATAATAATGCTATAGTAGAACTGTTTAGTTGAAAATAGGCCTTTAATAGGAACTAAGGATTAATTCTACAAACCTTTCTTGTGTGTGGGCAATATGGCTCATGCATCGGCATATGGCAAATTCCTTTCGGACTGCCTTGTTTACCATCGTAAAATGTTGAAACCCTCTTGGTTGTCCGATCAATAAACTGATCAGGAAAAACTATATGGCCAGGCTCATACTCCTCTTTCAAAGATCCACAGGCTGATGTCACAACAACATGAGTACAACCTTCTTCTTTCAGGGCATAAATATTTGCACGGTAATTGATATCTGTAGGCATGACATCATGTTTTCTTCCATGTCTGTCGAATACAAAGGAGGGCGCTGAAAGTAGTATCAGTGAATGATACGCCCATGGGGTACTCTGGATTTCAAGTGACGAGGATGATCGAAGGATTTTTTTGGGTTTGAAATTTTGCTTCAAGGATTTTTTTGGGTAGGAAAATTTGGCAGGTATTTTTTGGGGGCAGCTTGATTGAAGTAGGGATTTTTGGGGGTATTATTCTTGTTATATCATTTAATACTTTCTGGAAATTTCTAAGGCTCAGAAATCCAGCAAGGGATTTTTTGGGAGGTTAATTTTGGGTCTGGAATTTTTTTCGGGTTTTGTTGGAAGCCCTAGGGACTTTGTTGGGTTTTGATTTTTGCCCCCATTCAATCATCCCCGTCACTTGAAATCCAGAGAACCCCTCTGCAGGGCTGATAAGACACTTCATGGATGTTAAGTTGTTAACTCCTCTCTACCCACATGTGAAGATAATTATTCAATAAGCTTTTGGAACCAGCCTCATACAAAATATCACAAAAAATAATAAGCAAATCTGTTAGGTTAAGTTGGATAAAAGTGAAAACTTAGGCAGCAAAGGGTGCATGAGGAAAGATAGCAGCACTATAAGGGTAAGGTCAAATACCATTAATGTCATGGACACTGATGGAACAATTAAAAGACACTGTTTGACTATCAATGGGCTGTCGCTTATTTGGTTCTTGTGAGACATAAAAGAACCCACGTCCACCACTGGTCAAAAAAAGTAGGAGAGGTAGATGACCCTAGCGGGGTGGCCAACCTCTCTTAGGATGGTTGGGTTATCTGTAAGACCAAACCTAAATTGGAGTCCCACTCTGTTGTGTCTTCCACGCCATATGGTGGAAGAGATTAAAAAATTATATAAATATTTACTGTAATTATGGACTTGAAGTAGTTATAATGGACACTTTCATGTGCATGGTAGATCGTTAAGGCACTCACCTGGCTAACACAACACAATCAACTCCTTTTATTTTGCCAAGGATCAAAACATCAGATGGCTACAAGCAAAATAACTTTACATCAGAACTGCATCATGTGTATCCTCATTCTCCTATCCTAAGTTTCATATAACGAGGGTCCCCAACAGGTTTTTCAGGATCCAAGATTTGGCCATTTTGGAGCCCGGGATTCGGGGTTCTAAAGAAATATGGGAGCCAGATATTCGGGAGTACATTTATGGATGGGAACTGGACGTAATAGGATTCAGTTACACAAAGGCCTCTCATGACCTTTGTTACTTGCAGCATCATCACACTTTTAAAAGAAGTGTGTCATTTATGCTGTAGCACGTATTGCTGCCTAGGCAATACCTATGTTTATAAAACAGTTGTTAACTCACCTATTAAATACTGGCATTAAATCAACATACCTTTCCATATGGTGTTGTCACGTGCTTTTCTTGCCTGTTTTCCAAAATATCAGGGTCATCCATTCCACTTCCACCAATAATTCCAATCTATCAAAGGTCGATTTTCCATTAAAAAGTCTGTCTCACACTACATCTCCCGGACCCCGATGGTGACCAACATGGGAGACCAGGAGATTGGTGTCGTATCCGGGAGACTCCTGGGAAATCCGGGAGAGTTGGCATGTATGTGATAGGGGCAGTGCTTGTAAAATCGTAAAGGATTAGGACAGGTCATGAATTGCTGGTTTGTTAGTTATTTAAGAGAGGGGCTAACTCGACCTGATGATTGACATTAGAACAAGCTGCAAGTGGAAAACTGAATACGAACATTCAAGCAACTAAAACTGTGACCAACAACTTAAAGTACTTTCTTTAAGGTATAAATGTTAATAAAAGTGTTACAAAAGTTTACTTTTACCTTAATCTTCCCTGCCATGATTATAATTGCCGGCTTCCACGTGTTGTTTGCGAAAAACACCTCCCAGGAGCGAAAAAATACAAGGCGTTCTCTGCAGTAACCGAGTGTAGTTGTTAGATTGGGAGCCTGGATTCTAAACTACAAAGCAGCAAAAAAATTAGAGCAAAAAATGGCTGCAATCGGAGGGCTGCAGGTGCGTGTTTTTGTGATGTTTCTTCTCGTGATTGTACCCTCTGCTCCAACGAAAGCTAGTTTGGATGAGCAAAAGAATGTTTTAGTCATAATCGGAGACGATGCAGGCTTCGAATCTCAGGTCTACAATAACACTGTGTGCAAAACGCCTAATCTAAACAAGCTGGCCAAGAGAAGTGTCATTTTTAGGAACGCTTTTACCTCTGTGAGTAGCTGTTCCCCAAGCAGGTCAGCCATATTAACAGGTGAACTCTTGAACAGTAGCGAATGCGAAACTGTAATGTATCATAAACATAACAAAATCACCCAATACAACCTATTAGTTGGGGGGGGGGGGGGGGNAAAATCACCCAATACAACCTATTAGGGGGGGGGGGGGGGGTACTTTTGAAGATGGGGATGTGCCGCTGGGACCCCGGAAGCCTTACTGAATTTTGCTACCCTATCCTTACCCTAGTGTAGGGATGGATTTTGGCAGTTAACTCTAGGATAGGGTACCCTGAGAGCAGAGGCCCTTCAATCTTCCTAGATAAGTCAGGAAGAGGGTCCCTTCCTCTTCCTAACATATATAGGAAGATCGAAAAGCACCTGCTCTCAGGGTACCCTATCCTAGAGTTAACTGCCAAAATCCATCCTTATCCTATACCTACAGTCACTGTTTTCCAGAAACTACTGAGATTGATGCTTTATATATCTTTGAAATTAAATTGAACTGTGAAGGGTTTGAACCCAGGAGTCATTTCAAAAGTAGGTCGAGTGTGATCGTCCGGGTGAACGTAGTCCTGAATAGGACTGTTGTTGTTGACAGTGACTGATGTTTCGACAACCTGTGCGGTAGTCATCTGCAGAGTCAAAGTGAGTTGTTATAGTCACTCGATGGTATTATACTCTGGTTATTGATCTGATTGGTCAATTACGTCGCGATGTTATTGGTGGTCTGTCAGTTAAGCCGTGATGTTATTGGCTATGAAGACTCGTAATCAGTAATTGGTGCATTTCGATCTGTCTATTGCCATAGTTAAACAGTCGTCTATTGTTAGTCAAATTGTCAGTTCTCCAGTCGTTCTCTCATAGTTAGTTTTGCTTGATCTCATTAATAAGTCGTCAATTTCAGTTAAGAATCATTGTTACTTGTTCATTTTGCTTTCTGTAACAGAAAAGGTCTGTGACATGAGGTCATAAGACCTTGAATTTAGGCAAATTGGGGTTAATCAAGGTATTACCCATTTATTTTACTATTATAAAAAAATATTACAAAAAAATGTTTGTTATACTAAGTGTTGTTATATCAAAGCTTCACTGTACTTAAATGGTGAGCTTGAGTGTCAAAGTGATTATTTTCAAGGTCTGCCACAGCACCAGAATGGAATGTATGGACTTCATCATGATGTTCATCACTTTAACACATTTGATGAAGTCAGGAGTTTGCCTCTGTTATTGGAGAAGGCGAATGTGCGAACTGGAATCATAGGCAAGAAACATGTGGGCCCTGAATCAGTGAGTCTTTCTTTTCATTTATTCCTGTTTACAATGAAGCTTTTAAGATTTGTAGATGTTCTGAAGGTATCCAGGCAAATATTGCTCAAAAGACATCTTGATCAATTCTAGGTATGTTTTTTTAAAGTTTATACTAAGTCAAACTATAGCTACTCATCAACAGCCCAGTGACATCACAGCAGCCTGTTGGTTGACATGTTAGAAGAAAAGCATAATGGGCGAAACCTTGTGTACGCTAATAAGTTTTCTATCATGGGATTTGAAACCTTGTGTACTTTAAACCATTCTGACACTTTATTGTAACCCTCTAGGTCCAAAGGGAGACCAACGTCAATTTTCTCCTAGCGACGTCTGTACATTGTCAAGAGAAACAGTTGTGATAATTAATAAAACGATCAACAAAGGAAATGATAGGGCCAATCATGATTATAAGCTCTATGTAAAAGTTGCCATCCTAAACTGCTACAAATATTCTTTTGTTGTACAGATCGTTAATGTGTGGAATAACTTGCCTAAATATGTTTTCCACACACGATCGCTGACTTTATTATGCAACAGAATAAGGAGTTATGAATATTAATTAATATGACTGTAAATAGTTTCAATAATTATTATGATAAGCAAATGATGTTTCTGATTCAAGTTTTGAGTTTTTAGATTTTTTCTCTGTATAATGTTTTAGATTCTAGATTTTACATTTTTTTTCTCTTTTATTTTGGGGAGTCTTTTATATACTAGGGATAACCTCTAGATAGCCCCTTTAATTTGGAGAGATCTTTTGCTTTGTTTTCTATTTCTTCTATAAACTATTGTATTGTATTGTATGATTTGATCTTTTATCAAATTCTCGTAATATTTTAAGGAAATGCATGGAGATGAGTCTGATTGTGGATATTGGGTTTAAAAAAGAGTTGCCAGACACCCATGTGCAAATCAGACAATCAAAAAACGGAAGGCCAATTATTGGCCTTCCGTTTTTTAGAAGCTTGCATCCTGAAGAGAAAGAACTGAATTAAGAAAAAGCTTTAATCTATGTCTTTTATTATTTGTGGCTGTAACTTACAGTTCAAAGTGGTGGCTCTGGCTTTTGCATTTTTTGAGGGGGGGGAGCTGGGGATTTAACGTTTAGATGAAGGGAGTGTCACTGAGCTGTCATTAAGGGCTGTAACAAGGGCTGTCAGTAAGATTTCAAGTTGCTGGGTAAATACAACAAGTAGGCGGGGAATCAGACAGCTAGTGTTTTCTTTTGGTTCTATTTTTTTCCTTTTTCCTATGAAAGTAACGGGGGGCTATGTTCTTAGTAGCCAGGGGAAATTCCCAACCCCCGCCTCTTAATGACCGCCCTGGCTGTAACTTATTACACCTGGCATATTACAGCTGAGCTCACTTGATGTTATGGCTGATCAAATAAGAAATTTTAAAATAACACAATAATTTTTTGTGAGATGTAATTGATGAATCTTTATTTGCTATGGCTGCTTTAAAATCTTAGTGAAAGCCCTGATATGGGTTAGGAGGGGAAGCATGCACACACCCAAGGAACCCTACCACCCCTGCGCCCTTCCACTGACTTGTGCTCATTGATAGTAGAATTAATCTGTTTGCAGGTGTATCGTTTTGACTTCTCATACACAGAAGAAGATCACCATTCCATTCTTCAAGTTGGTCGTAACATTACATATATAAAGGAATTGACGCGGAAGTTTCTTCAGGGATCCCTGGAAGACAAGCGACCATTCTTTCTTTACATTGGTTTCCATGACCCTCATCGATGTGGCCACACCCATCCTGAATATGGTAATGTCTCTAATCTGCTTTGTCAGTGTGTTCCACTGAAGAGAAACAGAAAGTGTCAGTTATTTAAATGAAGTCTAAGTTAGGCTGCAGTTTAAGAAATCATTGGATCTGCAGATATCTTACTTAGAGGGTTAATTTCAGAAAATAAGTGCTTTTTCAGTGGTGAAATTGTTCACAATAAATGGTGTTTAGACACAAGTGTTGGGAAAACTGAAAATAGCTTAGAATGCGTTTTTGTTAAACATGGCCTAAAATCGGTTTAAATTACTGGCCAAAAATGTTTATGCTCAACCACTGCCAGGAGTATATGATTGTGTGAAAGTCATGCGAAAACCAGATGATAAAATGGCCTATTTTCACATGTTTTTCACATACTTTTCACAGGCATTTCACATGCATATTTCACATTGATGTGAAATTTTGTATTGTGAAATAGATGTGAAAAGGGTGTGAAATGATGTCAACCTTTTCAGACTCAATTTTCACATACATTTCACTCAGGGTTTCACATGGGTCTCAGTGAAACAGTCATATTAAAGAAAAACAGTCAGCACAGTTTAGGGATGATATGACATTTTTGCTCATTTGGAGACAAACTGAATGCCAGTTGTGATGAATAGGTCCAAAAAAGCAGATTCTGTTTGTCTAAGACACTAAAGTGAGAGTGAAATGATGAAAAATATGCATGGCCAGATCTGACTGAAAAATGACCACCATGATAAGTGACTAGCACTTGATAACATCACATAAAAGTTCTGCTAGAAATGGCCAATGGTATTATGAAGTGATCATTTGACATGGGCATTAGTGGAGAAAAGTTATCTAAGACTCAATGCTTTTTTCTTATTATTTTCCAGGGAATTTTTGTGAGAAGTTTGGAAATGGAGAAACTGGCATGGGGCTTATACCAGACTGGAAACCTGTTCTTTACTCCCCTGGGGAAGTGATTGTTCCTTATTTTGTTCAGGACACACCTGCTGCAAGACAAGACATTGCCGCACAATACACTACAATCAGTCGTCTTGACCAAGGCATAGGATTGATCTTAAATGAACTAAAGCAAGCAGGCTTTGAGGACAACACGCTAGTTATTTACAGCTCTGACAATGGCATCCCCTTTCCGACTGGACGGACAAATCTTTTTGATCCAGGGATGGCAGAGCCTTACCTTGTGTCATCACCATACGCTCCTGGACGCTGGGGCGATATTAGTGAAGCTACAGTGAGTCTCTTGGATATAGTACCCACTGTTCTGGACTGGTTTGATATTGATTACCCCTCGTACAAAGTCTTGGGCAATAATGTACAACTGACAGGAAAATCATTATTACCAGTGTTACAGCAGGAACCAAAAACAGGATGGGACACTGTGTTCGCTAGTCACAACTTACACGAAGTGACAATGTATTATCCAATGAGAGTCATTAGAAATGGAACCTTCAAACTGATTCACAATCTAAACTACAAGATGCCGTTTCCCATCGATCAGGATTTCTTTGTGTCACCAACATATCAAGATCTTTTGAATCGAA